CTTTAAAAAGCCAACCTCAGGTTCTTCATCTACAGAAAGAAAATAAATAATAGCATCTTCCTGAGGGACTTATCCTGAGGATGAGATCGATAATGGATGTGGAAATGGCGCAGAATTAGCACTCAGTAAGTATTGGCTCTGGGGCTATTACTAGGCCTGGCCTATTACGTGTCACCTACGATATCTGTGCCGCCTGATAACGTCAGAATAAAGGCTTAGTGGAGGTGCCAGGTAGCGTCCTGCTTTGCATATTTTTGTGCTGTGTATTATTTGATATTTTTGGCAAGTAGATTAAAGTTGACCTTTGTTTTTTGTTTTGAAAAGGAAGCCCAGCCAAGCACTGCCTCAGTTTTCTCCCCTGGGACATGGAGAACACCGGAAGTTCTTCCTTACAGGGTTGTTGGGAAGGTCAAACTGGACGTGAAAAGTACACCTGTTATCTAGCCCTGTGTCTGGTACTAAGGATGTCATTTCAGTTCCACTCTGTACCTGGACACAGCAGGTCTGTAAATTCACCCGCCTCCCCCTCGACCCCCAACCCGGCCTCAGAGGCCCTACCTTGAGCGTGGCGCCCAGCGAGCGCAGCCCGGTGGAGTGGCGCGCCAACTTGAGCACGCGGAAGATGCGCATGAGGCGGAACACCTGCACCACCTTGCCCAGGTCGCCGAGGTCCTCGCCGCCCGCACCTCCCTGATGGCCGAGCGCCGCGCCAGCCACCAGCGTGAGATAGAAGGGCAGCACAGACACAATGTCAATGAGGTTGAGCGGGTGGCAGAAAAAGTTACGCGTGCTGGGCGCCAACAGGAGGCGCGACGACACCTCGAAGCTGAACCAGGCGATGCAGAAGTACTCGAGGCGCCTCAGCACCGGGTCGTCGCGAACATCTTCTGGGTTGCGACCCGCGGCCACCGCAGCCACCGCGGCTGCCGCCTCGCGGGCCTGGTACTCGGGCAGGCTGTGGATGCACATGGCGGCGATGGAGGCGAGCACCACGCCGATGGAGACGCAGCTGAAGAGCTTGCTGGGCAGCGAGTAGCCGGGATTCTCCATGGTGAGCCAGAGACGGCGGCGCAGGCGGCCGCACCGCGCTGCGCCATACCGCGCCAGCTCGCGCTGCACGTCGGAGATCTCTCCAGGGGACGGGTCCACGCTGCTCGGTGCGTCGCTGTCTTCATCCCAGGCACGCGGTCGCGCCACGCGCCGCTCCAGGTAGCGCGCGCGGCAGCACGTGGCCAGCGCGTTCTCCCCCAGGCCCCAGTAGTCGGCCTCTTGGCCAAAGGCGAAGACGCACAGCTCGTCGAGCACGTGCAGGCGGCCGGTGCGGTAGAAGTGCAGCAGTCCCAGGAAGAAGCCCGGATGCCGGTCGAAGTAGAACTCCCGCGCCGCCGCGTCGTAGTCATCGCACAGGCGCCGCGCTTGCTCCTCCGACGCTGCGGCCTGCAGGCGGCCCAACCGCGTGCCCGGGAAGCGCGCCAGGGCGCGCGCGCTCAGCCGCCGCCGCACGCCGCCCACGTTCACGCGCAGAGCCTCGTCGCTCCGCCGCCAAGGGGCCCTGGCGCCGCGCCCTGGGGACTCGATCACCATTGTTGCCGCGCTCCGGCCTAGGATACGGGAGGAGCCCGCTGAGGGTGGGGCGAGGGGCAGGGGAGGCCCCAGGACCTTCCTTGGAGGGAAGATCGTCAAATCTCCCGCCCCATTCAACTGGCAGGGGTGTGGGATGCTCAATGGGAAGCGCCTGGTATGCCCCGGTCGCGCAGTAGGTGTCAAGGGCCCTGTGGACTGAAGAGTCAGGTTTGGATTTGACTAGCCCTCACTCCCCGACAGGGCTTTGGTCACATCACTGAGCCTTCCTACCCTTGTTTCATCGGCATAAGCAAACGCTGAGCTCTAGAGCTGTGCCTTGGAGGATCATGAAAGCGGTTGAACAGCAGGATGTCCTAGCACCTGGCGGGTTTGGGGGGCGCTCATAGAGGACGTCTCCCTTTCTCAGACAAACTTGGATTTTTGGATCCCAGAGGTCTCCTGTGGGGCCTTGGACACACCAGCAGACTGAACCTCCTTAGCAAAGTTGGGGTGGTGAATGCTTACCACCTAGGGCTGTTCTGTTCTCAAAGAGCGTTCCCTGGACTAGAAGCGTCAGCATCACCTGGAAATCTGTCAAAATGCAAATTCTCAGCCTGCTCTGGACTTGCTGAATCAAGCTCTTTGGAGATGGGGACAAACAGCTGTGTATTAACAAGCTCGGAGGGTGATTGTGACACACGGTCAAGTTTGACAGCCATTGGCTTAGACTATTTAAAGCGTCTGTCAGTTCGAACTTTGACGTTCTTGGGTGACCATAGACAAGTCACGTCACCTTTCTGAGCTTCTGTCAAGTGGAGACAAAAATATCCACCTCCAACTGTGATTGAAAAGGTTAGATGAACAAATGTCTTTACCGGGCCTGGCACCCAGAAGAGGTTTAGTACATTGTCCACCTGTTTTGCTGTCTCCCAGGGTCAGGCAAACCTTTGTCTGTCTCCTCCGGAGAAACACCTGGCACCTGGAGGAAGACGCTTTTCTCCGCATTAGTTTCTTGCACAATGCAGACAATAGCATCTGTCCCCAAGGAAGGCTGGTGGATCAAGGTAGGCTATGGAAGTGTTCGGCCTTCGTGGCTGCTAAGGAGGTGTTAGACCCTGCCTCTGACCGCTGTCTCCAAGCTCTGCTGGAACTGAGGGCCAGCCAGTGACTCACCTCCTTACCTCGGTAATGTCATCTGCACTGTGGATTCAGTAATGCCTGCTTCCCGGGGTGGACAGGGATTGAATGTGCATCAAGCAGCTGGCCCAGTGCCTGGCAAGGAGTGGGCGGGGCATTCTTCACTTACCCTGGGCGTGACGTTAAGCAAGTCGGGGTTTTGTCCTTAGTTCTGTTGCTTGTATGACCAAGGGCCCGTCTCCTCCTGCTCTGGGCTTTAGCTCCCTTGTCTACAGAACGGGGATAATAGCACTTCAGCTGAAGGGTTATTGTGAGCATGTGTGCAAAACCCCTGGAACACAGTAGGTGCTCAGTAAATGCTCATCCCTTGCACGCCTCTCTGGTCAGACCTGGCTTCCGATTCTGAGCCTGCCCCTTACTGCTGACCGTGAGCGGCTCCTCCCCTGAGCTTCACTTTCTCCGTCTGCAAAGTGGGGCGTGCTGTCCTTTCCCTGGGAGCTGTGGGGGCGACACCAGGCAAGGTGGCTGCCAGCAGCACAGTCCCTGGCACACGCAATGTGCACAGTAAGTGCGTGCACTGCAGCTGCCTCCCACGCCTCTTCTGGGACTTGGCTTCAGAAAATGAAGCCTCCAATCCAGTTCCAGCACCCATGGGCTGCCCCTCTGTGGGCCAACCCTGGCCTCTTCCTGGAACTCACCTTCCTGCTCTTTGAAATGGGACAATTATTAATTCAACAAACCTTCCCCGACAAGAATCTGAAGACCAGTGAGAAAGATTAAGTGATGTGCTCAAAATCGTCCAGCTAGTCCATGGCACAGGTAAGGTGAGAAAGTCGGTTTTGTGATTCTCAAGACTCTTTCCACGCTCATTTTGATCACCTACTACGTGCCGGTCGCTTCTCTGGGCTCGGGGCACTCCTCAGTGGTTTGAATCCCTACCCCAGCGCCGCTGGAGAGGTGTGCTAATCCCGTTTCACAGGTGAAGGAACAGGATCAGCCCAAAGTGCTGTCACCCCACGTTGCTCCCTCCTCGGGGTCTCAAGGAGACTGCACGAGCGCCGGGAGCTGCAGGCAGCCCCCGCCCCTTCCCCCGGGCCACGCCCCTCCCGGAGGGCGGCCCCTTACCTGCAGCCCAGCGCGTCCGTCCCGGAGGCGCGGAGGCCGGGGAGCTGCTGGCCGCCCGGGGCTGCTGTGCCCGGCGGCCCCGCCGAGCCTCGCTGCTGCGGAGGCCCTGCTGCCTCCTCCTTCCCTGCCTTCGTCTGTCCCCCGCGGCTGAGGCCGCATCGATCGCTGCCGGGGGAGGGAGGGAGACCGCGGGCGGCCGGAGGCGGTGGTTTCTATTCCTGACTCGGGTTGGGGTGTGTGAGGGTGTCTGGGGACTGGGCCCTACAGCCAGGACATCCTCCCAAGTCAGGGACCAGGGGGAAGAGGGGTCACTCAGAGGACGGGGCCCCCTCTGAAGAGGTATTTCAACCGGAGCTTCTCTGACACAGGAGAAGCAGTAATAAGAGCTTCCCAAATTGACACGTGCCAGTCACTCCGATTCAGGGGAGTTGTCTAAGGTATCGCTGACATAAGCTTGAGAAGGACAGGGGCTTATGTTCCCCCTTTTACAAACGAGGCCCAGTCACCTGCTCAGGGCACTCAGCCAGGAGCTGAGATAGGAACTCACGCCCTCTAGGGCTGCCCCTGGGGATCTGCTTTGGGGAGAAGGTGACCTCAAGCGGAGGCAAACCCCAGGCCCTCCTGAGGCTGCTCTGGACCTGCTCGTCCCTGCTGGCTGTGATGCCTGGGACAGAACTCTGGGCACAGGCGAAGTGCTCTGCAATTTTTACTGTCATTGATGTTATCAGTATCTAAGGGGGCCTATGGTATGGGTTAATCCTGGTGAGAGCCTCTGTTTCTTCAGTGTCAAATGGGAATTAGGGGGCCCATCTTTCTCAGTGTTATAGGATGGATGAACAGAATGATGTTTAAAAGTGTGAGAATTGACTACAGTTTAATAACCATGCCCTGAATTAGACCAGCTCTTACTGCAGTCAATTTGCAACAAACATCCACCAAATCTCACTGGCTTCCGGTCACAAACATTCACTTCCCTCCTGCAAGTAAGTGTGAGGACGGGCCGAGGCACCTCAGCCTGTGCCCCGTGTCTTTCGTGCTGAGACCAGTGGCTCCTGGGCAAGTTCTTCTCACGGCAGAGGGCGGAAGCTGCAGGAAGGCTGGTGCCGTGCCCTGAAACGGTCACACTGTCATTGCGCCCACAGTCCGTTAGCCAAAACAGGCTCAGGGCCAACCGCCTAATCATGGGACCAGGGAGGGATACGCTCGCCCAGTGAAGCTGCGAAGAGGGAGGGGAGGGGAGGGGTGTGCGTGGACAGGCAATACGGTGTGCCCTATTATCTATGCTAAGCGCCTGAGTATATAGATGGGGAAAACTGAGGCCCAGGAGGAGTAAGGGAAATAGCCTCGCTCACAGCGTCAGTGGCTCTCAGGGTGTTCTTCTCCTCTCCCAGGCCTCACCTTGTATCCCTATAATTAGCATTTGCTGCTTTGGAGTCAACAGCTCAGGCATTTGAATCCCGCACGAAGGACTATGACAGCGAGGAAGTAGAATTCTTTCCATCTGCCAGCAGGGCAGACAGAAGAGCAGAGCAGTGACGCCCCTGTAACCAGGGTGCATCATGCAGGGAACAAGGAAAGAAGACCCAGGATTCTCAACTCTGCCTCCGCAGCTGGCTGGCCAGCCCCAGCTTCGACCAGTGCACACAAGCAGACCCAGCAGAAAAAGCAGGGAGCAGTCTGTCCCTTCCCCCCCACCCCGCCCTCACCCCCTGCAAAGCCTGGGTGAAAAGGGCAGGCAGGAAGGAGTCCAGCCCTCTGGGTCCAGGACTGTCCCTTGGGATGGCTGTCGTTACTTCATTGACTTCCCCCGCTCCTCACGGGGCCCTGACTACAGACTGAGCCCCTCGAGAAATGGAGGTGAATGAGGTGTTATCCAATGGTGGATACAGACGCGCTCCCCGAAGTAATGACACCTCAACTGCTCTTGAGACATTTCCCCAAATGTGGAGCAATTTGAAATGACCTTAGGGTGTACCTGGGAGGCAATGTTATACAACACTGAGTCTTGGGAGAAAGAGCCCCCAGGGAGACAGTCTCAGGTTAGAGACCTGTGACGTGAAGCTCTTTAACCCTTGCTGACCTGCATTGATTACAGCGGAGAGCTGGCTTCAGGCTCCCAGCCAGGGCAGGTGGCAGTATCCAGCTAGAATTTAATAATGTTATTTAATATTGTTGTATCAGACATGATTTTAATGGAACTTAGCTGTTTTCATGGCATTTGCTTTTGCAATTATATTTTCTTTGTGGCAAGTGATCCTGCTTATCCCACTGACAGGAGTGACATCGAGATTTTCTTTTGACAGTATTTATAGATGAAAGTGAGTGCCCTTAAGAAAAAGCACCGGATAACCCGGGGCCGGGGCAGTACAGGGAACAGCCCGGGGCTGTTTTTGCAGGCAGGAAAGTGGTGTGAACAGACACGCTCAGGAAACTGCTGAAACATACTTCCAGGTGGTCCGGCTGCCGGAGGTGGGGGTTGGGCCCCCCTCCAGGGAGAGGCCTACCTGAACCGGGCATTTTAGGTGGAAGAAACACGTGTACAAAGAGATGTGAAGGTGGGTGTTAGGAAGGATGAGGAGCTCATGTGGCAGTGGTACCAAGAGGAGTCCTCTGAGGTCTGGCCATGGATTTTGATTCCCAGGAGGAAACCCCAGGGGTGGACGCGTGGCAGGGGAAGTCACAGCAGGTCGGTGTTTACCGGAAGGTTGGAACTGCTGCTGGCAGAGATGCTGCTGCCTGGGCGGCAGGTCCCAGGCCCCCTCATCATCTCTTCCCCCTGGGAATGCCATCCGGAGGTTCAGAGCCACGGACCCTGAACCAGAATTAGCCTGAGGAGAGAGCAGGAAAGGGTTAACCACCTCCCATAATAGGGCTCTGATCCCCCTTCCGGACCCCATCAGCCCAGCCCTGCTGGTCGCTAAGGTAGGACTCCCCACAGCGGCCGGGCTTTCGCGACGGTGGAGGGAAGCTCAGAGCCCGTTAGGGTTGTGGTCCAGGGGGCATGGCAAGTTCACCAAGAGAACCGAGGATCCCCAGTCCCTCCATCATCCTGACAGGACCCCCACACCCCATCCACCTCCCCAATAATGGCCACAGGGGGGCGCCGGCTTCTGGGGAGGTATCCTGCCGAACTGGGTGGAAGCTTAGAGCTGGGGCTCGGGGAGGGAAGGAACCGCCACAGCCCCCAGAGCCCCACCTCTGACGGGGCTCCGGCAGTCCCGGCCGCAGGCGCCCAGGCAACACCGGCTGAGGCCCCGGCAGTCGGAGTCGCGGCGGCACAGGTGCTGAATGGGGCTGAGGCACTGCAGTCGGTCCTCGGGGCAGGCGCCCTGCTTTACTGCAATACAGGGGCTGGGTGAGCGCGTCCTGAGCCTCGGCCCGGGGCTGGGCGCTTGGGCGGTCGGTCAGCCGGGTGGAGAGGGACACTCACCTGCGACCATGCGGACACACTGGCGGAAGCAGTTTTTGTAGCAGCACTTCATCATTGAGGGGCACTGGCTGTCCCCCAGGCACTGGTCAGGCACCGACAGGACGCAGGGCTCATCGTCAGGTGGACATCCCCCCCGTCTCTCTGTAAGAGAGTCCCCCAAACATCGCAGCTGGAGGCAGGTCAGAGTTATGGGGTAAGGCTGACCTGGGGCCCCCGGCTCTGAATTCTCCCTTCAGTCCTTGCCTGTCCTTTGGCCAGTTATTATCTGTATTTTGGGGTGAGCTTGCTTTTATTTATTTACTTCTTCTTTAGTCCTTTTATTGAGGTATGATCCACATAGCACATTTTGTTAGTTTCCACTGTAAAACATAACGATTCAGTATGTTATATGTTGCAAAATGATCGCCACAATAAGTCTAGTCAACATCCGCCATCATACACTGTCAAACGCTTTTCTTTCTTGTGATGAAAACGTTTAAGGTCTACTCCCTTAGTAACTCTCAAATATGCAATAGTCTTACTAACTATGGTCGTCATGCTGAACATTACATCCTTGTGACTTGTTTGTTTTGAAACTGGAGGTTTGCACTTTTTGACCCCTTCGCCCCTCTACTTCTGGCAACCACCAGCCTGTTCTCTGTATCATGAGCTTGGTATTAGGAGGTTTTGTTTTCTTTTGTTTGTCTTTTAGGTTCCACATACAAATGAGATCGTATGGTATTTGTCTTTCTCTGCCTGACGTACGTCACTGAGCGTAAGGCCTTCAAGGTCCATCCTCGTTGCAAATGGTTGGCAAGTGTTGTTTTGCTTTTGCTCCAAGCCTCAGTTTTCTGTCTGTGAAATTGGAAATTGGACCCCTTCCTTCTGGGCAGGTTGAAGACTCAGATGACACAAAGGACAGGGGGAAAATGAAGTTCACCTGCGCTAAGAAGGCCACACGTGGTACAGCCCCTGCCTGCCTCTCTGGCTTCATCTGCTTCACTGTTTGTGGCCGCTGGTCCACTCCAAGCCACCTCTTTTTGCTTCAGCTGTGCCCTTCGCCCGGGATGCTCTCCTACAGCCCCTCCTCAGGTCTCAGCTGAGACACCACATCCTGCTTCTTGGCCCCAGGTGCGCTCGGTCAGCCCACCGCACCCCATGCACCCCCAAAGGATCTTTCCTCCAGAGTTGGTGGCTCTGCCTCTCGTGCTTGGCCAGCAGCTGTGACCATAGGCCCCCCCTCCCCCGCCAGCTTTGCTCCCCGCGAGGCTGAAGCACAGCTCTTGACCGGGGGCTCAGGAACTGTTTGAAAGAAGAAGGTTTGAAGGGAGAACCAGCACCGCAGGGGTGTCACGGTCGGCAGCCTGGCACATTGTCACACAGTCACCATCAGCCATGTCTGCGATGTGCTCGTCACTGCTGCAAATGGCATTGTTTCAGGGATTGGTATTAACTTGGTCTTCCAGGCAGTCCTCTGAATGGCTCTAGAATGTTCTGTCCTGGAGCTTACCTAGCCACTCTTCTGGGTAGGATTTTGGGCCATTTCCAGATTTCATGCAAAAGGCTTGAATCAGTATCTTCCCCCATTTAGAAGGAGGAATCAAGGCCTGAAAGGGGCAGTGGCTGCCCAGACCCACACGCATATGGAGCCCTCACCTTTCGGGGCAGCGCCCCTGTGACCTGCCCTCCCCTCTGCTCCGGTCACCATTGAGCCTTGGGAACAAGAACTCGCTCCTGGCCTTCACTTCAGTCTAGCATCTGAGAAAAGGGTCAAGAGCCACCAGAGGCAGCCGGATCCAGCGCTGTAACTTTACTTTGTGTCCACCTTCGCCCTCCAGCCCCTGACTGGGCGCCAGCTGCACACATAGTAGGCACCTTGCTCACACTGTAAGCGCTCAAAGTCAACTTGAGTTGTGTAATTGGGTTGGCTTAAAGTTTAAGGGTGATCAACCCGTGGCCCGCGGGCCGCGTGCAGCCCGGAATGGCTATGAATGTGGCCCAACACAAAATTGTAAATGAACTTAAAACCTCGTTTCTTGCTCATTAGTTTTCGTTAGTGTTTGTGTATTTAACGTGTGGCCCAAGACAACTCTTCCAGTGTGGCACAGAGATGCCAAAATGTCAGACACCCCTGGAACTGAACTGCTGCCCCCTGCTGGAGAAAGAGCAGCTTAGCCTGTGAGGGAGCCCCTACCCTGAGCCTCTTCCTCCCAGGCGGCGGGCGGCGCAGAGGAGCTGAGGTCTGGCCCTGGCCGGAGGTGTCAAGCCTCAAGAAGCAGGGCCAACGGAGCTGCCTGAATGGAGAGCAGGAGCTCCCTGTGGGCTGGGCGGAGGGGGGCGGGTCAGGTCACGGTCCCAGAGGAGCTTGTGGGGGTGGGGCGGGCCAGGACTGGAGTGGAAAGTGGCATTGTTTTAGGGATTTGTGTTAACTTGGTGTTTTAGGCGGCCAGCCCGCCGCACCCTGTCTTTGAGGCAAGACAGACAGACAGACAGGAAGGGAGGATGAGAACTGGCATTTCAAGCGGACAGAACTGTGGCAGCAACAGCGTGGGGCGGTGCAGGGACAATGGTGAGAGAGTCTGGCAGGTTTCGCTCAAGGCTTCCTCTACCTTTCCTAAGCTCCCCAACCACCTCCCCCCATCCAGGCTCCCCACCCGCGGACGTGCACCCAGAAACACGGGCACGGACACACGCTGACAGCCCTAGGATACGTGTACACCTTCCGGATATGCTGACTCAGAGGACAGTCCCGCCCCTTCAGTCCCGCCGAACTACACATAATTATGCACACAGACTTAGGGACGCGTACATAGTCAAATACGCAAGTGCACTTAGATGTACGCACACTCTTAGCTATGGGCTTGCCTGTATGAAATGCTGATGTTCAACCTTTTGGATTTACAAAACTAGCAATTTCATATGGTTTGACTCATTCATGTACGTGTGTGTATCTCTTATAGTTTTATGTAAGTATAAATTCAGTCATATATGTGCATCTGAACAAATATACAGGCATACGGCCATATATACATGCCTACTCACATAAATACAGGGGTGGACAAAAGTGGGCTTATGGTTATTCATATGGAAAATAAAACAATAATAAATAATAACAAGAATAAACCGTGTTTTGTAGACTCACAACTATAAACCTACTTTTGCCCACCCTGTACACACACTGGGAATCACACCTACATTCAGACATACATACACAGTTATGTATGTGTAAACACATAGCATATGTATGGGTATGAGTGGAGACATGAACGTGCACACACAGCCGTGCACACAACCATACACCCAGAGCTACACAGACACGGACCTCTTCACAACACAATGTAACCATTGAAAACACTTGTGAGACACCTTCTATCAGGGACTGTGCCAGCTTCTCACTGTCAGAGACCCCCCGACGTGTTTGAGGGCATGTGTGGGGGAGGCAACGGAGGGAACCTCATAAACAGAGGTGACTGTACTTTCACAGAAAATAAACAGACGTCCCTTCCCTCACTCTGCTCTTTCCTCCCCTGTCGGAATGTCTGCCAAGCCAGGCAGCGATCGCATGGGGAGATCAGGAGGGCGGAGAGGCGACAAGATGGGCAGGCCAGCGTGTACTGCTCCTCAGGATGCTGTCTACCTGTGCAGTGAGACTTCACTGTACAAGGAGTATGTCTGGGAGGCGGGTCTTCCCGAGTCCAAAGACCTGCCCTCAACTGCCACCTTTGACATTGACTCAGAGTCAGTCTTTGGCCTTGTGCAAGTGGTTTCCCACTTGCAAAATGGAGATAAAAATAGTCATGACCTCACTGCCTCGCCGTGGGGAAGAACGTGGTGGCGGCAGGAGTCACAGCCAGCGTGGGGTCTGGCCTTGGAACGTGCCAGCATCGTTCCCTCCTCAATAACCTGGCAGCTCTGAGTGCTCTCCTCCCCAGACCGCCTCATCCCAGGGAGAGAGCCCTGCCTCTGAGGGAGGCTCAGGCCGGACTGGAGGGGCGCAGAGGAGGCCAGGAACTGCTCCCCAGGGCCCCTCAGAGGAGGGGAGCTGTCCCCATGACCGCGTGCTTCCCCAGGGCAGGGCCAGGGTTACACAGGTATATGTAGGTCAGAGGGTTCCATCCCCAGAAGGTCATGGAAGTGGAGGCCTCACCCAGGTGGGGAGGCACCTGTCTAACTACTCTGGCAGCCCGGGCTCCCGTACCTGACAACAAGCCAGCCCCAGCCTTTTGGGGGGAGGCGGAGAGAAGAGAAGAAGGGCTACAACTTCCTCCCAACAGATCCCAGATCCCAGAAACCACACCCCTACTCAATTCCTGAGTGGCTTCCACAGACTGGGGTGGGGGACAGGGAAGGCCTGAGACCAACAGAAACAAGATGAGTCGGGACCAGACTGGGCACGGCGTTGTTGGCCACAGAGGACGACAGATCCACACACCTCTGCGGAGACAACCAGGGCCGGGGGGTACACACGGGCTTGTCCCGCCAACGTGCAGAGGCACAAAGATACACACGTACAGCGCAGGGATGGGCATGCGTGCACCCAGAATCCCCCACTCAGCTGTGTAGAGGGCCCAGACGAGCTCTGAGAAACTGGCCAGAAGCTGTTGGCAGACATAGACATAGGCAGGCTGACGGGCACGAAGAAGCACAAACAGGATGCAAGCACTAAGAAGCAGACACCCACGCACACACACAGACACGCACCGAGTTACCTGCCTCTCCCAAACGCGCACGCCCCCCAGACAGGGAGAGACCACCTGGTACCTGGAGCAGAGGAACCTGTCCACACTCACCTCCATTCCTCCTGCCCAAGGCAGCAGGCAACTGGCTCCCCAAAACCAGGAGGGCCACCAGGAGGAGGTGGCTCTGCGGACTCATGTTTCTGCTGCAGCACAGCAAGTAACAAGGTCAGGGCCCAAGGACCCCCAAATTAACACCTCTGGCCCCGAGGAGGCTAGAGCAGCTGTGTACGGGAAGAAAGGAGAGGGGGTGGATGGAGTAGCAGGTGTCTGCCTCATCCTGGCCCCACCCCCTGTCCAAGAGCACAATGCAAGGGTGCTTGTGCAAGAATTGATGATGGGTGGGGGCAGGACCTGGGAACTGGGGGCTAGACCCAGTGCCACCTGTATTGCTGAATTGGTCTGTAATCTTGGGCAAGTCTTATCCCTCACTGGGCCTCAGTTTTTCTCATCCATGTAATGGGTGAAGGTTGTTGAGTCAAATACTCCCTTTCCTAGCTCCCTAAGATCTTGAAGCCCTAGCAGTGGCTTAGGTAGGGGGTAGAAGTCAGCTATGATATGCAGAGTTCTGGGTGCCTAGGAAGCATTAGGGTTAGGACCCAAGCTCCCTACTGGAGAAGACTGGCCCTGGCTGGCACCACGAGTGGGGCCGGCCCTACCCTCTCTTCCTGGGCTTCCATGGAAGCCGGAGAGACAGTGCTCCCTGCCTTTGATGAGTTCACCTCCAGTGGCATCTGGTAGAACTGTCCCGTGCCCGGGTCTGGCTTGGCTGCCTGGAGTGGGCGAAGGTTTGGGTTTGGCTTAGGTCGCTGGTCACAACAGATCTAGGTGGCTTCTGGGACCCTCTCCCTGGCACTAAGGGATCCTGAGCCAAAAAATCATCCCAGCCAAGGACCCCACCTTAGATTCCACGTCGTTCGGTGGAAGTGAGGCATCTGGGGCTCGGGATCCTAAGAGGCCCCAAACAGAAGTCCCTCTGAACCATAGGACCTTTCCAGGACTGGAGGTAGGCGGGACCACCCTCCCTACCCTCCTGTTGGAAAGACGAGGAAACTGGAGGCCAAGGACATGCAGTTCGTTTCTAACTAAGCGGGAACTGCTCTTATTGCCTCCCCGTGGTCCCCAGCCAGCTCCTGGGCCTCTCTGACCCTGAGGGAGAAGCGGGTGCTCCCGCGCAGAACAGCCCTCAGAGCAAGTGCTACCAGGGTCGAAGCAAGAATGCCAGCTCCTAAGATCTCAGGAAACAGGGCCCTGGAGCCTACGATCTGATGTTACTTTTGGAATTCCAGCGTCCCCTTGGAGGCTTTATTTAGGAAGAGTATTTTATGAGGTTTTTTTCCCCCCTGATTTCACACTACACGTGTGTAGTAAAGAAATGCTCTTTCAGGTAAGATTACTTGCTAGACTTTTTCATGGGCAATGCAATATGCTCCAGTATCATCAGCTCTAACAGTAACATGGGAGTTTGTAAGAGTGATATGCCAAAACATACATAATCAGTTCCCTTTTGTGACACATACAGGATTCCATTTTTTTTCGCTCCCGAAGTTAAGCTGTGACAACAATCTTTGTACCTACACTTTGAGTCACACCTCTATTTCTTGGGGTAAACTTGTTAAATTAGAAATGTGAGGTCAGTCAAAAAGTCTTTTTGACTCCAATGTCCGATAACTACTCACTATATTTACTTATAATTCTCTTGTGATTTTTTTTTTAAAAACTTGTTAATTCTTTAATCCAGCTGAAATTTATTTGGGCATAAGGTATAAGGTAGGGAAATGCCTTTTTTCTGTGTGATTAAGCAGTTGTCCTAGTATCATTTAGTAAATCATTCAAACTTTTGCCATTGGTTGGGAATCAGAACCAAAAGCTCAAGCCTTGCACGTAAGGGCCTGTGTCTGGGCTTTCTGTTCTCTTCCTTTGACTCCCGGTTCTCCTGCCGGAACTGCTTTTGCAACCGTTGCAGCCTCACAGTGCAGTTTAGTGACGGCGGTGTCCGGTTGCCCTCATTAATCTGCATTTTCAATCGTCTGTGTCACAACTACTTTGTTCTTCCGTGTTAACCTAATAGTCATTTTTTTTTTAAGTTCCAAAAACAAATCTTTGGTTTTTCGTAAAAAAGTCTCATAAAAATACTCAAAAAATACACAAAAGAAGAGCCAATACTTTCATGTGCCCCTCACCCAGGTTCAACAATGAACATTTTCCCCAGCTTCACTGAGCTGTCACTGACACATAACATTGTGGAAGTTTAAGGTGTGCGACACAGTGGTCGGCTACACGTACATATTGCGAAATGCTTAACACAACAAGTCAAGTGACTGCCCTTGCCTCACAGTTACCATTTTGTTATGAAATGTACTCAATTACAAACTTAGTTTTCTTTTCTAAATATCACAAACCCCCCGTGAATAATCGCTGGCACTGGATGCCATTTTTAGAACGCTCTCAGGTAATGCATTTGGTTTCTAACTGTTAAGCCACAGAAATAAGGATGGAGGAAACTTTAGAAGGGGAAAAATGACAGCTTCATTGTTGTTGTTATGGTGAGAAACTTGAAGCTCTCCTCCGAGTGGCTTTGAAGAAGACAATACTGTATTTATGGCTATAGCCACCCTGCAGGGCACCAGCTCCCTAGAAATGATTAATCTTATAACTGAAAGTCTCAACAACTAACATTTTACCACCCTTCCTTATTGTATCTTCCCACCCCTTCATGGCTGAAGTATTTTAAAGTAGATCCAATGCATCTTACATTTTATCTTTAAATACTTCAATATGCATCCCAAAGAAATCAGGACATTTTCTCACAAAATTGCCATGTTGTTGTCATTCATACTTAACAAAATTAGCATTGCTGTCTTAACATCAGCTAATATCCTCCTCGTATTCTATTTCTCTTATTGTCTCAAAAATGACTTAGCACCTTTGGTGCGTTCAAGTCAGAGTTAAACAAGGTGCGCACATTGCATTGGTTGTAAAGTCTCATACATTTATTTTAATCTAGAACATGCCCTCCAAGGCTGACTTCCCTTCCTTCCCTTCCTCCTCCTCCTTCTTCATGCTATTTATTTGTTGAAGGAAGAAGATGAATTGTTCTGTAGACTGTTCCACATTACTTCCCTGTGGTTTCTTTCAACTTCCTTCTCTGTCCTTTGTATTTCCATAGAAGAACGTTAGCTCTGGAGGCTCGACGAGGTTCAAGTCCAGCTGCCTTGGCATGCACACTTGACAGGTGTGCCTTCCTTTGCGTCACCTCGGGAGGCACGTGGGTCTCACCTGCCCACTTTCAGTGTGGTGAAGAGAGATAGATGGGTTTCAGGTGAAGGCCCCGATGCCCCCCTTGTAAAGTTGGGCTTTTCTACTTACAAACCGAAAATAAACTGTGGAGTGAGGAGCAGGCCCCCCGTACATACTTGGTCCCGGTCAGACCTTTCACCTAAAGATTTCTGAAGCCGAGCTGAACATTGCCTGAATCAGAGATTTCATTAGAGGACACAAAACCCACCAGGTGTTGATTTTGATTATGTTTAAGGTTGCCAAGAGGGACAGCTTTACCGTGTGGAAGTTTCCTATTTGGGGAAGAGCATATCATTTAAAAACTTGTTTCCTATTATAGAAACTAAAACTTGAAACTATTACAGATAAAGTCACCAGAGAGCTGACTCTTTTATTCACCTGCTCTCCCCTTCGTCTTAGTTGATCAAAGTTTCACTCTTTCTACATTCACAGCAGATCATACATTCGTTTCACTTTTGCTTTGGAGTTCTGTGATCCAAATGTTAAGTGCTCAACAGTAGTTGTTTTGCTAATTCCTGCAAATGTTTCTCTCTTTTGTGTTTTTTTAAGGAGTCTTTACTTTTAAATGATTATCAATCAGTGCATGAAATAATAACATGTAAAAAGTTCTTGAATTCTATCATCTAGTAATTTTGATGAAGAGATACTAAAAGCAGCCAAAACAACTGTATCCTTTGTTCTAACCCTTAGCCAGAAAGGGCTGTTTTAAGGCTGACTGCTTCTTCCCCCCACCCCTTTTAGATTTAATTTATTTATTTTTAGCGAAAAGGGGAGGGAGAAAGAGAAAGAAACATCAATGTATGGTTGCCTCTCGCACGCCCCCAGCTGGGGACCTGGCTTGCAACCCAGGCATGTGCCCTGACTGGGAAGGGAACCAACAACCTTTTGGCTTGCAGGTTGATGCTCAATCCGCTGAGCCACACCAGCCAGGGCTAGGCTGGCTGGTGCTTTACACAGGTTACAAACAAGTATGTACTACATTTTCATAAAGACCTTGACCTTCAAGAAAGCTTTAGGGAAAAAAAAAATTTAAATCTCTTTCTTTAAAAATTGTGGGTTTTTTTTACTTCATCTAAGAAAGAAAAAGTATATATATGCATATATATATATGTGTATATACACACACATACATGGATTGAGCTAAAAGGCATAGGAAAACAATGTATACCCATTACATTTCTAAGAAATATGATGTAAAAGATGAAATCTTTGGATAAGCTCTAAGTTTGTACAAAGAAATCAGATTTGCTATTCTCCAAAAGCAAAAGGACCTGCTATGTAATAGGCAGAAATAACTTAATGCTTTTTCACAAAAATGCAGCTCGGGCTTTGCAAAAGCTTCCTATTCTCAGGAAGCATCTAAAATGCCAACCTACAGAACAAGCATTTCTTTCTTCTGCCCCTGTCCATTTATGAGGCAGTTTTCACCAGTTCCTGGCCCGATGTCACCGACAAAGGCCAAGGGGTTAGCCAGGACGTCATCCCTGCATGGCGGGAAGCAGGCCTGGAGGATGGCCACCCTCTCCCGGACGTCCTGCCCTTCAGTGTGGCGCCTGCCCTGGGGAACCCAGAGCCTCGGCTCCCTTGGCCTCGGACTCCTGCCTCTGCAGGTGGCACTGCGCAATGTCAGCCTGAGCCTCTTCGGCCGCAGGCTCTTGGGCTTGCGGGCCTCTGGCCCCACTGCGGCCGGCTTCTGGCCTGCAGCGCCTGCTGGCTGTCCTGTGACAGGCTGGCTGGGGCAGTGGGGACGGCCCGCGGACGTTTCTTGGTTGTTCAGATCTTCTCTGTGAACAGCACGGTGTGTGCTCCTTCATACCTTTGCTCTTTTTTCATACATAAATATAGGCATATATAGGAGTTTTTGTGTTTCTGCTGAAATATTATCAAAACACAGATTTTACTTCCCAACTTGTTTTTTTCTGATGGTAAGGTTTCAGGGACATTTCCGGAAGTCAGTAAACACAGAACTAGATATATCTGTTCTTTTTCTAAGGTACTTATAAATATAATAAGATCCCATCAGACATTGAGTGTTTTAGTGAAGCAACATTTATTTACTTCTTTTTTTTCTTTTTTTCTTTGCCTTCTCCCTCCTTTCCTACCTCCTGACCCTTTGTCCCATCAACCACTTAGGAAACATTGTTATGGCCGTGCAGCATTCTTAATATAACTATAGCTATGTTTATGTAATATAACCTTGTAAAAACATACTCTCACTACCTGCAAGCCCCTGGTTTGAGGCCCTCTATCCTGTTTCATTTGCATATTTACCTATCATTGTTCTAATACCACTTTATCATAATTACTACTGCTTTAAAACAAACCTTGATAGCTGCTATATTAAAGTCCTATTAAATTGTTCTTGTATAAGAGTGTTTTGGCTATCTTGCCTTTTGCATTTTTTAGTATATATTTTAGAATCATTCTGCCAAAAACTTTCTGGCTTACTTTTACAAAAACCTTTCTAGGGGTTTAATTGGGATTGCATTGAATCTCAAAATCAGTTTGAAGGGAATTGACATCTTTATTACATTGAGTCTCCCAATCCATTAGCATGTATACCTTTCTAACTGAGAGTGTTAAAATATACCTCTTGATGAAGTTTTATAGTTTTCTCTGTAGTGGTTTTGCACAGAAGTTATTAAATTTGTTTATAAGCTCCTCATGATTCTTCTATGATTATAAAAATCATTAAATATTTATTTACTGATTTGCATTGTTTATATGAAATACAATTTTCTTTGTATTGCATCTGTCATGATAAAGTTTCCTCATTTTTATTTACCCCTTTTTAACTTTTACTACATATATAAGTGTGCCTTGGCAATTTATTACTTAGTTTTCCTTAGTTTTGAGCCTTGTATCAGCTTATGATTCTAAATATTTTCTTTTGGGATTTGTACTTTTCATTCAACATTATTTTAATTGAAGCCACACTGTGGTTATATTTATATTTATAAATATATATAAATATTAAATGGCCATATTCTTTTTATACTTATATAATATGTCATTGTATTTTATATATATGCCATAACATGTATAGCCATTATTTTTTCTTGGTAACATGAGCTGTTTCCAGAATTTTGTTACCAGAAACCACACTTTTGTGAACATTCTTGTGCATGTCTCCTGGTGAACATGTGAAAATATTTATCTTATATATGTACTTAGGAGTGTCATTGCTGGATCATAGATTTTGCACATATTCAATTTTAATAGCTGATGCCAAATCTATTTTCAAATAGATTGCCTCAATACAGACTCTCACTAGTAATGCGTGAGAATTGCTTATTCTCCACAAATCAGTAAGAAACAAAGATGGATGACCCATTAAAAAGAGGCAAGATACCTGGATAGGCTAATTGACAGAAAATCCAGGAAAGTGGTCCCCTCTGGGAAGGAGGCGGAGGGAGGCAATCAGGAACACAGGACAATCGGGTCGGCCGCTAGGGCACATACACAGGAAGCATTCGCTGCCCGTACCTGGCCGTGAGTACTGACTGCCCATTTGGATGCTGGTCTTTAAGGAATATAGTTTGTTCTACACACTTTTTGTTCATACGATTTATTTTGCAATGAGCTGCCTTTTTTCCTTTTTTAAGTGGCCAGCAGACTCCAACATTCTGACCTTTGCTGATATCCCCCTTCATGTGATGGCGTTGGTGGGCATGTGGTCTGAGTCCAAAGAGTCAAGGATGAGGACATAGCCAACTGGTTTACTACCCAGTAATTAGCCTGCTTTCTTCTCTGTCTCATCCAAACTCCACTCAGTCACTTCCACATTTCAGGTTCTGTCCCTGGTAACACCCAACTTCTAGGCATTAATTTTTATTCCTCTCAGCTTTGGTAGCTATGACAAAATATCAACTCGGACTCGCTCTGGCAGAAAGTTAGGCTACTGGGTCATAACCCAACTGTGGGAAGGGTGTGGGACGAGCTGCCCCAAGGGCCCGGGGAGCAAAGGTAGGCTGGGGCCCCACGAATCTTCTCCGGCCATATTGTCTCTGCTTCTATCAGCATATGTACTACGTTCATTTTTTTTTCCCTCACACAATTGAACTCCTCCCAAAATGGAATCAGAGCTCCTGGAGTTCCCAGACTCATATGTAGCATGTTCACCAAAAGGAGGGAACCTCTTCCCCTTAGTGTCCATTCAGATGAAGGACTTCCATCAACCCACTGGTGCCGCGCACGCACGCACATACGCTCTCCTGCTCTCCGGATTAGCAGTTCTCATTGACTCTTCAGCTGATGCTACAAGGGCACAAGGGTTCTTCCGAAGAAACAGGGGGCTCCGCTAAGGAGGAGGAGGGCGCTGTGGATGTCCACCGTACAGATGCTTTCTATTTCCTTCCTGTTACTTTTCTGAGTGTTCTCTTTCTTCTTACTGTGAGTCCGAGGGCGTCATCCCCTTTCAGAGTTAGACGTTCACCCTTACTATCCCTTTTTTGCTGCATCCCAGAGGCTACCTGTGAAATGGCAATGCGCAGTGACTAGCCATTAGATTTGTCAGGCAAATTGGCCTTTGAGAGTTTTCTTCGCACCCTGGGGAGAATGAAGAAGCCCCACTTGGTGTGGGAGGGGTAAGCTGTTAGGGCAGCTCACGGTAGGGCCGGCAGGGCCAGGGGGAATGGGGGAACGCCCCCTAGTTCCGAAATCAGAACATGCCCACTGACTCGCTGAACGACCTTGGGTGATGTGTGTCTTTTCTCTGGGCGTCATAGTCTTTCTAAATATAAAGAATTTGGTCATGACGGTGTCCAAGGGCTGGCAGGCCTACATACCCGTGAGAAAGTAGGACAGCTCTCAGTGCCATCAGAGATGAGGCAACGCGGTGATTGCCATTTCTCTCCATGAATAATAATCTTTGGGGAGAGCCCCAAGTTCCCTCCCAGGATGAGGGTGGATAGTTCCTGGCAGAATCACAAAATTGTAGGCCCTGTCCCTTGTAAAACCACAGACCCGCCCTTGGCGCTGGGCCAAGCTGCGGCTACATAAAACAGGCTTGGCCTCAGCCCTCAGCCACACACCCTCCTGACAACATGAGGCCCAGCAGCTTCTTGGTCCTGGCGGTTTTGGTCATCCTCGGGGCGCTGGCAGTGCACGCAGCTGTCGTTGGAGGTGAGCGGACAAGCGGCCCCGCTAGGGCTGGGTTGGGCTGAGGAGAGGCCGTCAGGGGCCACCTGGGCCTTGACAGGGAAGCGGAGCCCCGGGCAGGGCTCAGGCCTGCACTTCGGCCTGCGGTCACTTCCATTATCTCCAGAAAAAGTAGGCAGTTGCCCAGCAGACCCCACGTGCTTGTCACCCGGGGGCTGAGACATGAGGACTGGTGGTGGAAGAGGTGATGCCCTGTGGCCTTGGCCTCAGGTACTGAGGGATCTGAGATGTGCAGGATGAAGTGAGGAGTCCCGGGATTCTGGGCCCTGTCCCACTGCCCTGTAAAAGCGCCTGAGAGTAATCAGTCCTTTAAGGGGAGGTTAAGAACCAATAGCCTCAGGTGTCATGCCATTTGAAGACCGCCATTTTACTAAGGAGGGCCCCAAGACCCAGAGAGGAGGGAGGAATCGTCAAGGCAACCTCCAGAGGCAGACGGAGCTCAGGTCTCCCAGCATGCGTCTCGGGGCTCTTCTGCCTTCCCCTGGGTTTCCTCAGAAGTGACAAGGTGTCCTTGTCACCTGGGAGTCTCTCCAGTCTGGCGTCCCCCCCTGAGAGAGCACCAGAGCTTGGAATGGAGGGATGGCCATGAGAAGGACACTGGAGGCCCCCTGGGTCCTGCAGGCCCTTCCCCAAAGCTCAGGGAATCGCCTTCCAAGAGCACAGACCCGGGTCAGCCGTGGTGACCCTCCCCCATCTCAGGTCACAGTTTGGGGGACACGAGTGAACAGTGGCTGGATGGGGAAGACGAGGTATTTGAAGCAGGGACGCAGGGTCTGAATGTGGATACGTTTCTTCTTTCTGCAGTGCCTCACAAAAGTCAAGAAGTGGACCATGGTCATGTTGTGGTCCAAGGACACGGTCACTCCAAAGATCATCATCATCATCCAGGCAAAGGGAAGGGTCCGGGCAAAAACCAAGGCGCACACAAATTTCGCAGTAAGCCTGGTGCCTGCCCCGAGGTCCTGATCAGGTGCGCCATGCTGCACCCCCCGAACTCCTGCCTGAAGGACTCGGAGTGCCCGGGGGCCAAGAAGTGCTGTGAGGGCTCTTGCGGGAAGGCTTGTCTGAATCCCCGGTGAGGTAAGAACCGAATGGAGGAAGCGGTGACCCCTGAGGGCACAGGGAAGGCTGAGTGGTGGGAACCATCCTCGGTTGGGGAGAGGGAGGATATCGGGAGGTGAGGGGGAGACTGAGGGGTCTCAGAAGCTGCAACCGGGGTCCTGAGAGGGGTGACGTGTGGACTCAATTCTGTCCGCCACTGCCTCCGAGCGCTTTGACCTGCTGAATCACCTCTCTGGTTCTCCTGTCTCCTACCAGGTGGAGCCAGTCCTTGCCGCTCCTGTGAAGTCGCCAGGGCTGCCGTTTCTGGTCCCTACAGCCCTCTCCCACACTGAGCATTCTTCCTCTTACTGGGCATGCCCAAGCCTAGGGCTGCTTCTCAAATTGACTTTCTAATAAAAGACTGCTTTCCGCACCATTTGTTTGCTTCCTATGGCTTCTGAGTTTGCAGGTGGGTGTGGAGCTGGGGTTCCCACTCTCCAGTGAGGGCGGGGGTGGGAGGGCTCCACAGAGCTGCTCCTGGGGTGAAGGAGAGCTCGGGGCAGCAGCAAGAGGTGCAGTCCTAGGGCTTCCTATTAGGAATCCAATAATCAACCCAAGAACTACGGTCTCTGTATTGCCAGGAAATGGGAATCTGGAAATTTTGCTTGTTCATGCATGAGGTGCCTCCATTCACAACATATGATTCCTTTGGGTTAAGCAATATCTTCTCCCCACATTCTATTTTAGGATGTGAATGAAGAGACTATACACACTAAGTCCTTGATCCTTTAATAGGAATGATGAATAGTATTCTCTGGAGACATAAAGTTGGGGGTAGAGCAGATCCGACTAGTGACCAGAGAGGAGTGTCTATATTGGGCCCTTGTTTTAATGACAGTTTACATTCTCAGCTTTTTCAGCCTAGATAGTGCTATGTCTTCCTTTTCTGCAGTTTGGTGTTTTTACAGAGACACCAATTCCTCCACAATACCTGTCCCGACATCCGAATCACAGCGGAGCGTGCCACCGCCGCCTCTGGGCAAGTGATGGCACATCCTGTCCCTCCAGCACTGCCGCAGCTTCGGGCTTCACTCCCGCTCCTCTTCCTGGAAGTGAGATGCTGCAGCCACTGGCTGCTGGAATACATTCTCACTTTGTTCTTCCTCTGTGTCTGCTACTTACCGTCGCTGGTCCTCACATCCCTCAGAGAGCCTTTGCACGTGTCCTTTGAACCAGCACCTGTGCAGACGGGGTGGCTGCAGAGAAGGCAGAGAAAGCGGGCATCTGGACCTTCCAGCTTCCCTGGGGAACATGGGCTCAGCCTCCCACTCTCAAGACTGACCAGTGCCTATGCTCTAATTATAGGAAGGGTATTTTCATGCATAGCAGTCAAGAAATGAAAGTGGTCTAAGCCATTCTCATGCCCACTTGTGAGCACCGGGCCAGCTGCTATGCGCCGTCCCTCTATTTTGTGTTCAAGCCCAGTTTCTGGCCTATCATTTAACCAACTATAAAAAGGAAAGAGATCAGAGCTGGTCAGGCTTCCAAGGCCTCTTGGCTGATGCTCACTAAACCACCTACCACCTCCTAAAAGGCATTTTCAATTCTGCGAGAAGAGGAGGTGGGGGGTGGGGAGCAAGAACGACGGGGAGATAAGAAGCTCTAGGGCTGCATGAGTCAGTGAAATGACCCAGGGATGCTAGAGGAGGCGCCCAGGCCGAGCACTGCAGCCTTCAAGGAAACAGCTAATTGGGAACAGCGCGGCTGCTCACAGGCTCTCCTGAGACAGAGCGTTCTCCAGCGGAGGAGTTTCCGCCGAGCTGTAACCCTGACGTTGGACCTGCAGGCTCTGTTCTGTGCACCCCCGGAGGGCTGAGCAGCCAGGGTCACTGATCATTTTTGGACATTCTTTGGCCACTTCCGAGGCTCTCCTTGTCCAGAACCTCCTCATACGAGGAGACTCTGTTCCAGCCAGCCATGTGTGTCTGCCCCCAGGAGCCCAGTGTGACAAGTGTCATGCACAGACACCACATGATTCTCCCCTTGTCCCAGAGGCCCTGAGTCACAATCTTCCATTGAATTTGGACCTGAAAGTCCCCTTTGGCATAATCCAAACAAACACCCTCATCTTGCAGATGGGGAAACCGAAGTGTAGGGGCGCCGTCCAAGTTCACACTAGGAGTCAAGGGCAGAGCTGAGGCTGGGAACGACCTGTCCTGGTAGGTTTTTTCTCTTTCTGTAGCATGTTGATGAAGTCAGGAGGACGCGTAGCCTTGAAAAAAAAAGACTCGTTGATCTATTTGTTTTACCTGGACCAGAAATGGAGTTTACAGCAGGAATTCCAGGATAATAGAATGACTCAAACCAAAGTGGAGAATCAAAGATAAGATGTAAATTTGGGGAGAAGATAAGAGCAATTCAACGATAAACGAACACTCCACAAAAGGCCAAGTGCTCTGCATCATTTTGGTGTCCTGTCAATAATCTTTTGGCTCTTCTCTTGCCAATTTACTGCTCACCAGGCAGAGAACTTTGCTTAGAATCTTGGAATCTTTCTCAAGCAAGATGGGTTTTAAGAGACCAGGCCACTCATTTTATAATAACTGAGACATGTACACAGCACATAGGCACAACCCCACACGTGTGTAGCCTTCTAGATCCCCATGAACAAGAAAGAAATTTTCAAAACCTCCTGGGTGTCTTCCTCCCCACTTTGTCCTTCTGTGTTTTTTTGGCCAGCTTCTTATTAGCTCCAATGGGTCTCTCACTGTCTGAAGTAGCCATGATGTCAAAAAATTGACTCAAGGATGGAATTGACCACAAAAAGCAAGCTCTGAGTTAAGTGAAATAAATACATGCTCTGAGAATGGAACTTTTTATGAAGCTCCCAGACAGGTCAAACAGTGACAATGTTCTGGAGATGGAGCTATGGAGTAGCATCAACTCCATTCCCTGCCTCAGTGGTGTCTGGGCTGCTCGTTGTCATAGCTATCTCATAGCTGGTTCTCATCGGCCGCAATGCAAGCCCACTGGCTTCAAGGATGCCACACAGCTAGGAAGAGAGGGATAGGAGTAAGGCAGATCAAGCTCTCTCTTCTTGCTGAGATTCACTTGTTTTTCTTGAGTAAACCCTCCATGGACAGTTGCAAGCCTTTGGTTAAATTCTAGACTTCTTAAGAGATTGATTCTTGACAATATATGGTAGTGTTCTAGTGGCTTTCTGAGAGTGCTTATCTCTGTAGTAGGGTTTTTGTAGAGGCTTGCTATCAAATTAAAGTGAACTTCTAATCCTGTATTATTATAATCTATCATTAACAGATTGAGTGGTTTTTCACATATTCTACTAATGATAGGGAAATGATCATATAATTTTTCCCCTAACCATTAATAGGGAATATTCCATTGACTTACTTTTGAATGTTAAACCAACTATACCTGGTTGAAATAACCCCCACTTGTTCACTATGCATCACCATTTTTATATGTGACAAAATGCATTGGCTAATATTTTGTTGATTTTTCTAGCAAGACTGTCATAAAGTTTTCCTTGCATGTAATATTCTTGTCATGTTTTGGTATCAAAGTTGCAATACCAAGGTTCTTTGAACACAGAAAGGTCACAGGTGGATTGTGGAGCTACAAATAAACATCTTGAGATTAGAAATACAGACACTTTAAGTTATCAGCCTGTTAAACAAATTGGAAAGGGTTTTTTGTTTTTTTTCTGAATTTCAATGGAAATGCACAGAAGACTGGCCAAGTTAGAGCTAGAAGACAGCAGGTAAATGCACAGTGAAAAAAATACCAGGAAGAAACTACAAGAGTGCACTAGAAAGAAAAGACAGGAAACTTACACCGGTCAGAATGACTATTATCAGAAAATCAACAAACAACAAGTGCTGTCGAAGATGTGGAGAAAAGGGAATTCTTGTACACTGTTGGTGGGATTGTAAATTGGTGCAGCCACTGTGGAAAATAGTAGGGAGGTTCCTCAACAAATTTAAAAATAGGATTACCAAATGACTTAGCAATTCTACTTCTGAGTATTTATCTGAAGAAAATGAAAATATTGATTCAAAAAGATGTATGTACCCCTATGTTCATTGAAGCATTATTTATAATAGCCAAGATATAGAAGCAACATAGGTGTCCATGGATAGATGAATGGATAAAGAAGATGCGGTGCTACCTATATGCAATAGAACATTATTCAGCCATGAAGAAGAATGAAATCTTGTTATTTGTGACAACATGGACTACAGGGTACTGTGCTAAATGAAATAAGTCAAATAGAGAAAGAAAATACCATGTGATTTTATTTATATGTGAAATCTAAACAAAAGAGAAACAGGCTCATGGAGACAGAGAATTAATGGTTCCCAGAGGGTGGGGGAGCAGGTGAAAGTGAATAAGAGGTACAAACTTCCATTTATAATGAAAATAAGTCACAGGGAGGCAATGTACAACATAGGGAATATAGTCAATAACATTGTAATAGCTTTGTATGGTGGCAGACGGTTACTAGATTTATCGTGGTGATCCCTTAATAAGGTATATACATGTCAAATCACTGTTATACACTTGACATTTATACAATACTTTTTAATTAGGAAGGCAGGCAGACAGGCTGGCAGGCCCTGGGAAGGACAATTGCCTCCCATCGCCTCAAACTCCACTGTATAAAGCAAGAATCATGAAGGGCCAGGCCAGCCCTGACTCCTTGAAAAAGAGGAAGTACTTCTGGGCTCTCGGAGTTATGCCCAGAGGTTATATTACAGCGCCTCTGGGGGCGTCGAAACAGCTGATATGAAAGGTCAAATCAAGTCCCTTCTAACCTCAGACGGTGGGATCTACAGCTCCCCCTGCCGGCGGGCCCCTGCGTAGCCGATAAAAACAGATAAAACCTCAACGTTCACCCACACAGTTCTCTTCGAGATGAAGCAGAGCACCCTCTCTGTACTCACTCTGACCTTCCTCCTCCTCCTCCTGTGTCTCCACATGGCGCAGCCTGGAAGGAAGAAGGGTGCGGTATAGGGCAAGGCGATCCTGTGTGTGGTGTGTGGTGTGTGGCTGGGGTGGGGAACGTTTCCTCCGAGGAGCCCGTGGGACCGGCTGGCACTGATGCCAGCGCCGAAGCACGGCTGCCCGCAACTCCCCCTGTGGCCTTGTCCCTCAGCTGTGAACAAACCCGGAGACTGCCCAGAGTTCACACTTCGCTGCCCTTTCACGATGTTACCTATGTGCCGGAGGGACAGAGGTTGCAAGAAGACCAAGAAGTGTTGTTTCTACAACTGTCGGCATCAGTGTATGGAGCCGTGGTCGAGTCTGGACTGACGTAAGAGGACCCCCAGCTGCCTTTCTTGACTTTGCCCCAGAAACGTCCCCAGAGGACCAGCTGTCCCAGAGGGAGCT